TCTCGGCTACAAGTGATCGCCAAAGAAGACTACGGTTATACCTCAAGTTCTTCAGCATAGGTAAAGCCAGACTCTGCATATCTATTTGTTTGCAAAGCAATTGGTCCATCTGGGATGCCAAATGTGCATCGCAGAGATTAACCTGTCTGGCTTTCACGTTTGCTGTGTGTTATTCAAAGTGCAGCCCGGGTAACGATGCCTTTCCACCTGTGGCAATTTGAAGCACTTTACAGTAAAGACAGCTGGGTTCCGAAGGAATTTGAAATCATTTTGCCTGTTTTAAGAGGTCTGCAGAATTGGCTGGGCGGGCCAGATGGATGGCCAGAGCTTTGCACTCATCGCAGTGGGTTTCCCAGTAATGACTCTGAGCAGGTAGGTCATGGAAATGACCTCTGGTTGCAGTAATTTCTCCCAAGTGCATTAAGGATTACGGGATCTTCTTAGGGAAAAAGGGGGAGGGACAGATAAAAGATAGGGGGGGGATAAGAAAAAGCACTTCTAGAGACAGGATTATGAGCTATATCTACAGGGGAGTGCTATTTGCCTTTTAATTGCCCTGCCTTGCCCAGATTGCTCATTTAAAGGTTGAAGAGCTAACCGCTCAGAGTATTGACCTGATTATTGGGACTGCCTCTGTAATAAGGAACTAAAGGAAAACTGTATTTCTTTTTTGCTACAGACGTGCAAGAAACCCTTTCTGAGGGACTGGTTCTTTCTCCATTTCTGTGCTATGACCCACCCTACCTCCACAGGCAGTGCCCACAGACCTTCTCTGATGCTCATAAGCATTGTGTTTACTGCATAGGGATGGTGGGGGTATCTGATAGAAACAGATAGAACAAATAGAAATGGGAGTGGAAGTCATCCGTTTATTTGCCTCAAGTAACAGAAAGCACTCTGTTGAATCAGTATTCACTGTTGTTAATTTCCATCTGCAAACGATACAAAATCGATGACTTCCCCCATATTTGCATTGAGTTTCCTTTGTATTGAAATGGAAGGTGTGGGATAACCAAACTAAAAATGTAATTAAACAAGTAAAATTCTGCCACAGTGTAAAGAAAGATGAATAGCACTGTTTTTCTTGAGAACCAAACTGCTGTGGAACAGAAACAGCACTTTGTATGATGAACAAGGATCAGAATGGAAATCAGTGCCTTCTTAGATCCCAACTGATGTAAGGGTTCCATATAAAGGACCATGGGCAAGATTCTTCCCCTTGGGGGGGAAAGGAAGGAAGGTTATACAAATGAGTCTTTGTATAATCCCTCATCCACAATACTTTCAGTTGGCAGATGGATGGCTGTTGCATGCTGGGAGGAGGAGGAGCAAGGTGGCAGGGAGGTTGGCATGGTGGAAATGCAACTGCAAGAGTGCTGGATTGGCTCCAATGGTGTCTGTGCACCACACTGACCTCCCTGCCACCTCAGGCCCCCCGGTCCTGGGAGAGGACTTACCTAACATGAAGCTAGCATAGTGGCTCCACCCAACCCAGTGAGCTGGGTCTGCTCCCACCCTCTGGGAGGTCAGGAATCACAAAAATGGCAGCATTTGCACTAAAGATTGTTTGTATGGCAGAGGGGTGTGACTTGTCAGGAGCTCATCCTACACTCAAGTAGGACCCTGGTAGAATCACATGCCCGAATGGCATGTTCTCTCCCTCCTGGTTGTTCGTTTGGAGCTTCAAAAGCTTTCTTCACAGCGACCGATGCCAACAGACATCAGCACACTTAGGGATCCGTAGAGTCTTTGCAGTTTGTGTAACAGACCTCAGGAACTCAGCATTTTGTCTAATCTACTTTATTTACATATAAACACACACGGAGCACTGCAAAATGGCTCCCTCTCTTTCTAGCATCAGACAGCAAAGAGAAAGAACAAAGGACAATAGTCCCACTTCACAGACACAGTAACACAAACATCCTGTCTTCATCACTTCCCACACTGTGGAGTCAAAACATCCCATGACTGCAGACATGGGGAATAAATCTTAGACATGACCTGCACCAAACCAGAAGGCTCTGTAGGCTAGATAAATGAATCAACTAGGATTAAGTTACAGGCTGGATATTTCTTGTGTCCTTTGCACCACCAGGGCTTCTCAGAAAGAGAGGAGGAAAATCTGGGTCTTGGAGAAGGACTAGGTGGAGATCCCTGACTGATCTCCACCCAGGGGCAAGACAACAGTAAGATAATTGGAGTAACAGAGTCCAACGCCAACCCCATCATGCACTTCCATTTAAATAAGGCAGGTTGAACAGAAAGGCAAGATGTGGGTCTGGGCAAGAGGGGACCCAACTAGCTTTCCAATGGAGGTTACAAATATGGAACAGATAGTGGGCAAGAGGAGCCTGTGAGTTTCATGTATTGGAAACTGCTTTACCTTGAGTCAGACCATTGATCCATGTAGTCTCTGGTTCTCTGGGGTTTCAGGCAAGGGTTTTTCCCAACCTTGCCGGGAGATGCCAAGAATAGCACCTGGAGCTTTTGCATGCAAATCATTTGCTCTGCTACTGAGTGATTCCTAGGGAATGCTTTGCTGCACAGATGAAGCCTGCTAATAGGAAGGGAATTTGTATACAGGCAGAGAAGTTGGTCCAGAGTGGAACAAGTCCCAGAGTCACAAAAGAGCCATTTCTCCTCCCTCAACAGCAAAGCTATAGCTCAAGGAGCACAACGTCCATAAGGCCCATTATTTCAAGTTCTCCTGCAGACTATTGTCAGTGTAGATCCTGTTTGTCCATAGGGCAAGGATGGAGAACTTGAGACCCAACAGATATTACTGGACTACAACTCCCATCACCCCTGGCGATTGGACATGCTTTTTGGGACTGATGAAGACCCAACAGCCTTTGGAGGGACCACAACTTCCCCGTCTCTTGCATAGGACAAATGGCATATTTGACCCAAGTGCAGGCCCTCAGCTCCTGTGTGATATTTCAGCTCTTAATACCACCAGTTATCTCGACCTGCTCCCATTAATTATATTCTCCATTTCCCAAACAATTTAGAGCTCTGCCACTGTTGACAATAAAACTAGCTTGCCAGCCACACTATTGTTCGCTGACAACTAGGGCTTCAAATCAATCACTGTTTTGCCTGGGAACACTGAACTTATTTCTTACTGGAGATTGTGCCCAAACACATACACAAACACAACCAATATTTCATAGGAAATCCTGAAAATCCAAGCAGCACCATTCATCATACATTCAGTCCATGTACACAGAAAGCACATTAGAAGAAATGGGATTTTGGTAAACTTCTCATTTCATTCCTGTGCTTGAAATATATTTGAGTTTGCCCATTTTTCTCTTTGCTTCTTCCTTGCTTCACAAGACTGGTCTTCTTGCACCAGCAACACACGGTGTAAAGTTACAGGGGGCATTTGACTAAGGCATACTCAGAGGAGACCTACTGAAATCAATAGACATGTTGACTTTGGTTTGTTGGTTTCAATGGGCACCCTCTGTGTATGACTTAGTCAGATACTGCCCTTAGATTTGATGGGATCTTGGAGACAGGGCCAGATAATGACATGTGGAGGTTGTAAACTGTGTACAAATAAAAAGGCCCCATAGCATTACCAAAATATTTTTACATAAGTAAGTAAGTAAATATGTATTTATTCTAACAGGAGAATGAAAACTGTGAGATCATGTTACCCCATATATGCCCACTTAACCACTTCAATCTATGGAACTACAGTAATACTATCTGATAGGTGTGAGCCAGCAGTAAATCACACAAGTGAGCTGGAGTTAACGCTTTGCGTAACTAGGCGTGACAGCCCCAGCCCCCAGGGATCATAAGAAAGGAATACTCTGACAGCATTATGGAATTAAAATTAGGCCATAACTTTATTAAACTTCTGAATGTAGGGAGACCTTGGCTTAGGCCTTGAGTGTATATGCCTCCCAGCCCACCAGCCAGGGGAACTGGGGCACATCAGGGTAAATGGGATATGGGGGTGCTCTGCGAGATATAAGTGTAGCAGGCAGCCCACCCCATATCTCCGCACGCAGGGTAGTTCACTTTCAGTGTATGGCCAGTGACACTCATTATATAACCCCTTTAATAGGGGACCCTGGAATCGCCACCCCGGGGGGTGAATCACCACTTCACACCCCGCCCCTTATAGTGAAGACAAGACTAAAGGATTCCACCCAAGGCCATAACCGCCAAAGTTGTGACAAATTGCTATGGGGAAGACAAAACCTGCAATTGCAGGAAAATTTCTTCCCGGTCCTTCAACAGCAACCACTCAAAGGCCATAGCAGTGCCCACTAAACAGGAAGAAAATGTCAACCTGCAAACAAGAAAACATTAAAGAAAGGGAGGGTAAGGAGGGTGAATCTCCAGAGCCGACAGCCTGGCTACCATCGGCTCCACCGATGGTACCCATTTATAAATGGGAGTGGTTCTCCACCCATTTATAAATGGGACTGGTTCTGCCTCCCAGCAAGAAACTTGATTACTGAGGCTGGGCATGAACCTCCAAATAATAACACTGAGAGGGAAGCCAGCCCCTTCTCTACTAGAAAGTCCCCTGGGAACTGTAGCACCGCACGCGATCCCGCAAAGGGCACCCACATTATAAAGTGTGAATGCTCATTATTAGCAAAACAGGTTTACACAGAAGTATCAGGCCTAATGAGCACATCAACTCGGGTCTTGCCTCCATGAAGCAGTTGCTGAAATTAAAGGTCCCCACCTCCCCACCACCAGCTATGTCTCCCCTTCTCCGGGTTTCCCCACAAGCAATCAGAGACTACTCCTGCATGCCTGTCTTTGGTCCTTCTGCTTCATGCCTCTCCTGGTTCCGGGATACCAGCGGGGGTGGGAGGGGGAGAGGGCTTGTTGCAGTAGGAGGGGGACACATCCATGCCTCTTCCCAAGCCTGACCCAGCTCTGCCTCTTAGCCCCCCCACCTCTCCAGCCTCCACTTCTGCCTCTGATTCTGGACTGCTCTCTGCCACAGAATCTCCTTGCCCTGTTACCTCTTCAGCTTCCAAAACCTCCTCTTCCCATTCTCCTCCTCCTTCTCTCTCTCTTACCCAGGGCCATCTTAACCATAGGCACCAGGGGTGTGGGATACCTGGGTGCCGGGCTTTCAGGGGCACCAGGCTTAGAGTCCGGGGCCCGAGAGTTGGAGTCCGGGAAAGAGCCTGCCCGTCGGTCGGAGCGCCCTGATGGGCTCTTTTGCTGTGGGCAGCTCTGTGCTGTGACTTTGGGGGCGAGAGAGCCAGTGAGGTGCTGAGCCGGCCGGCTGGCTCTGCCCTCCTTCGTGCCTGGGATTGGCGTAGGGCTGTGCTTACACCACGAGGCACACACAGCTTACACCACAAGGCACCGATGCTGACGTCTCGGGCTGGTTTGTTGCACTGGGCTTCTTATGTTTCCTGTTTTCTTTTCCAGAGCAGAGATAAGTGTGGCGTCAGATCCCTAAACAAAGTTTGACAACTCTTGGGAACCTTTCCTGAATAAAGGTCAACAACTTTGGGGTTCCCCCCCCTAAAAGAAGATTGACAACTCTGGGCAGCCTGGGGGGGGGCGCCAGCTGGATCTTTGCACCCCGGCAGCGCATATGCTTAAGACGGCCTGCTCTGACCACTCATTGTGGTTCCACTATTAATCCCCAGGTTCTGAGCCTTCTTCCCTTGGGGGTTCCCCAGCTGGTTTCTTCTGCCATTCCTCTGCATGACACTATTACAGGTGCCACATAATATTTGCACTATATTGGTAAGAAAGCAATATTTTAGTCCTGCAGCACCCATGCTTTCATTCTACTGAATGGGTGAATGGGTGGAAATAGAACTTAGTGTGGCTGCAACACAGATTGAATCTTGTGGATGGTGCAAACCCCTTATTTGCTATAGGAATGCATGTGTACCAAGATCTTTAAGCTCCCATGTTACCCTGCACTGCTTTTATGGGAAAAAACCTCTCTCAATTGTGAAGTAGAAAAAGAAAAGCGGAGCGTATTGTGTGATGAATTCACGGCAAGAATGAAAAAGTGCTCACTAGAGCTAGCAATGGCACATTTTGCATATTGCCTGAATAGGATGTGTGATGAACTATTTTGTTTATTTTCATTTTGGGGGTTTTATTGTTGCACGCCCATGAAAAATCTCATCCCACTTCCTCCATCCTGTAGGAATCTATTTTCCTGACACCATAAATGTTCCAGAGGTTCACGCAGCATCTTTCATTTTCTGATCGTCTCTCCAGAGACCAAATATGCAATGTTCCTTATAATGAAACTGTATAACATTACATTACTGGCCTTCCACCAATATATTCACTGCACATGGCTGAGATCTAAAGGTGCCATTTATCCATTTTTCATATTTGATTGCAGGCAAAGCTTCCACACACATTTTCAAAGCACCTTGACAGTAATGACTCACTTGGTGGTGGCAAATTTGGACTTTTTTTAAGCTGAAGGAACATCCTAGTGGCTCACAAGTAACTGATGTCCTTCTGGACCATTAAGGAACTTTCTCAGATATTCCTTTAAGCACTGAAAGCTGCCCAAGAAGCCACACTTTCTACTTTTTGGTCCAGCATTTAGGAATTTCATAATTCAGAATGGCATTAGGCAGCCCTTCAGATATTTAGGGCTCCAGCATATGAAATGGGCTTTTTAAACAGCTATTATTACAGTCTATTATTACAATCCTTGGTCAAAATTCCTGGCATGACTGGTTCATTGCAGCTCTTTCACAGTCAAATCTGGTGGCAGAGAATGAATCAGTTGTTTGTTTTTTAATGACTCAGTTTTGTAGCCTTTTCCTTGTCTCAGGTGACCAGAGTATGCAGAAACTGGTTGCATCAGACCTTGACCATCGTGTGACCTTTGTTCTTCTTGATCTTGACAATTTTCACACCTTTTCTCCTCCCTGATACTATAAAGTATTCAATTTCTTCTATTCTGTGAGGCATGGTGATGGTATGTAGGTTTTTAAACAGAGCTTAGGTGGCCATCCGCCAGGGATTTCTTGAGCTGTGGTTCGTGCATTGAAGGAGGTTGAACTAGATGACATTTTGAAGTCATTGCAACTTGACAGTTTTAGGATTCCACGGGATGCCCAATGTACTAGCCACAGCATCTGAGACAGAAAAGTGCCAGTGGTTAGGAATGGTGGGATTTGGAGCCCAAAGACACATGGAAGACACAGATTCTCCATCCCTATCATAATGCATGTGAGAGGAAGCACTCTAGAAACTAAGGTCACCTATCAATGTGCCTATTATTCTGGGCTGAAGCTGCAACCAAGTATCCATCCCCGGTGTAGTCTTTTACATTCTAGAAAGCTGTTCAGCATGCTAAATTATTACACACACACACACACACACACACACACGCACTACCCTTCATCCTGAGGGATCCCAAGGGGGCAGGGATATTTAAAATTCATCAAGGTAGCAAAAACAAATGCCAAAGTGATTGCTAATATGCAGTGATGGTGGTGAATTCAGAAACTACCTGGCCCAGAGTACAAATCCGAGAGGTCTGGAATACATATATCTCCCCCATCCCCCCAAAAACAGACACCACATTGCCTGAAGTCCTCCAGCTGTCTGAGTTGATTTTCAGATTAGTGGGGGTTGTTCTGCATGAATGTTCAGCGTTCAACAGACGGGAGGGGAGAAGCCAACTGCTGTGAAATGTGCATGTGTGTGGTTAGGGAGGTTCATCATTAATTCCTTACTTTGTTTATTTCTCTCTGTGTGTGCATATATATTTGTACGAATCCCACTATGTCCTTTAACTGCATTAAATTACAAAGCCCTGTACAACACAGGTCCAGGGTACCTAAGGAATCTCTTGGAAATCACAGAGATCATCTGCTGGAGCATCATTGGCTGTTTCCCGTGAGGCTCATTTGACAACAAGAAACCAAGCTTTTAATACCATCGTTCCAGTCCTGTGGAACTTCTGTGCCAGCTTTTTAATGCCTGCTGAAAACATTTCTATTCTGCCAGTCCTTTGCAGGCAGAGGTTGCAGAATACAACCTCCACAATGCTTAATTGATGTCCATGTTTAAACTTTATAATATGGTTTTAATTGCACCATTTTTAAATTTAATTGCTGTAAACCACTTCGATACTTTTTTTCATGGCATATCGGTATAAAAGATATGAGAGATAACATCATATTCTGTGTGGTGTAATGGTTAGAGAGTCAGACTAGGACCTGGGAGACCAGGGTTCAAATCCCCACTTTGGAGATCACTTTGGGCCAATCACTGCCTCTCAGACAAACCTACCTCACAAGGTTGTTGTGGGGATTAAATGAGGAGGAAGAGAACCCCGTATGCCACCTTGAGCTCTTTTAAGGAAAATTGGGCTATAAATGCAACAAACAAACAAACACAGTTATTGGGGAGAAAATCCCATAGAATTGAAAAGGAGTTACTTCTAAAAACCCATGCTTGTGATTACAGCACTGTAAGTTTTACGAGACCTTTCTAATTCTTCCAGTGCAACCTCATTAAATTGTGTGTTTATCCCCCCCCCCCCCACAGTGGTACCTCGGGTTAAGAACTTAATTCATTCTGGAGGTCTGTTCTTAACCAGAAACTGTTCTTAACCCAAGGTACCACTTTAGCTAATGGGGCTTCCCGCTGCCACCGCCACGCGATTTCTGTTCTCATCCTGAAGCAAAGTTCTTAACCCGAGGTACTATTTCTGAGTTAGCGGAATCTGTAACCTGAAGCGTCTGTAACCCGAGGTACCATTGTATAATAATAATAATAATAATAATAATAATAATAATAATAATAATTTTTATTTATATCCCGCCCTCCCCAGCTGAAGCTGAGCTCAGGGCGGCTAACAACAATAAAACAGTACAAAAGTACAGCACAAACAACACTCTAAAATCATTCATTATAAAATAAATTAATTCAAGCCACTGGCAACCATTGGGCCAGAGTTAAACAACAACAACAACAACAACAGGAATCTCCCTATTCTCACATTTTACAACTACTATCCTAAATTCAGGCTCAGGTGCAATTTAACAAAACTAAGGAGTTCATCCAATCTTCTCTGAGCCAGTGTGGTGTAGTGGTTAAGAGCGGTAGTCTCGTAATCTGGTGAACCGGGTTCGCGTCTCTGCTCCTCCACATGCAGCTGCTGGGTGACCTTGGGCCAGTCACACTTCTTTGAAGCCTCTCAGCCCCACTCACCTCACAGAGTGCTTGTTGTGGGGGAGGAAGGGAAAGGATATTGTTAGCCTCTTTGAGACTCCTTAGGGTAGTGATAAAGTGGGATATCAAATTCAAACTTCTCTTCTTCTTTGAACCTCTTACCCTCTTATCGTCTACTAGTTTTGTTTTCTTCTAATACATTTTTATTAAAGATTTATTGAGCACTGACCAACAAGTTACTGTCATCCAGAACTCATTTCCATTGAATTCTGCTCTCAATAAACTTCCCTCTGATATCTGTGGTGGTTAGTCTGTGATGAAGCCATTAAACTGAATTTTGGAATGTCAGTCATAACGACTTGCTAAAATCTATTTGAGCTGCCAGCTGGCAGACACATTTGCTTTCCTGTAAACATGCAAAGAGTAAACATGCAAACCCTTATTTTCTCATTCTTTGTGCAACCACCTGTCTCCAAATATGGTCAGCAGGACCAAAGTTACATCTACTCCTTCATTTTATCTTCAGTTAGCTTTGGATGTGCCAAATTGATTTGGGGAGGGGGGTGACCTACAACTGAAGACATTGATAATTTGGCAGACTCTACATTTAGGTATTTAGGAGAATACAAAGCTGGTTTGATTACTGTAAGCAAAGCCCCATGATTTCCGCATTTTTTGTGCTTAAGGTGGTGTTTGTTTGTTTGTTTTTCTCTCTCTTTACATAAATGTTTTGTTAAGCTAGATGTATTCTGCCTTAGGAATTCAAGAGATTGCACTCTCTTGAGTGCAATCTCTTGAGTGCAAGTTGCGTTTCAGTGCAACATATTTTAAAGAGGGGATTCATGCTCACTTAAGCAAGTATTGCTTCTTCCAGACTGTGGAACCCAAGAATCTTGGTTATGCCAGAAATAGCTGTAGATTTATTTATTCATCTGAACAGAAATGAATCCTATAACTGGTACACCGTGTTGCAGCTGAATCCTAATGAGTAGAAAGAATCTGCTTGCTTTGAGGAAGGTCATCTGAGGACATTGTTTTCCGCGGAGACATTAAAAAATAATAATATAATGAAGACTAATGCATTTTTCTTGTGTAGAATGAGAAACACAGATGTTGGATTTTATTTAGAAAAGGAACTGTCTGGCCTAAGCAGACATGTATTTAGAAGATAAACAACAAACCGCCTATCATTATTATCGTGCAGTGAGAGGCTGCTAGAGACTTTGAGGTCCAGGCCACCTTTACTGCAATATTGGAGGTGGGATTTTGGACTCATGTGCATCACAATACTTTTTTCCAAAAAGAACAGAAGAGCCTGTTGGATCAGGCCCATGATCCATCTAGTCCTGTTCTCACAGTGGTCAACCAGACGCCTGTGGAAAACCCGCAAGCAGGATCCGAGCACAAAAGCATTCTCCACTCCTGCCATTTCCAGCAACTAGTATCCAGAAGGATATTGCTTCCAAACATAGGGACGCGTGTGGCACTGTGGTCTAAACCATTGAGCCTCTTGGGCTTGCTGATCGGAAGGTCAGCAGTTCGAATCCCTGCAACGGAGTGAGCTCCCGTTGCTCAGTCCCAGCTACTGCCAACCTAGCATTTCGAAAGCACGCCACTGCAAGCAGATAAATAGGTACCTCTCCGGCGGGAAGGTAAACGGTGTTTCTCTGTGCTCTGGTTTCTGTCACGGTGTCCCGTAGTGCCATAAGTGGTTTAGTCATGCTGGCCACATGACCCAGAAAGCTGTCTGTGGACAAACACCGGGTCCCTTGGACAGAAAGCGAGATGAGCGCCGCACCCCATAGTCTTTGACTGGACTTAACCGTCCAGGGGTTCTTTACCTTATCTGCTTCCAAACATGGAGGAAGAGCACAGTCTTCATGTCTAGTAGCTACTGATAACCTTATCCTCTATGAATTTATGTGAACCTCTACTATAAAGCTGTCCAAATTGGTGGCTCTCACTGCCTCTTTTGGCAGCAAGTTCCTTAGTTTGACTATGAGCTGAGTGAAGGACTTTCTTTTTCTGTCCTGAATCTTCTAATGTTCAGCTTCATGAGGTGTCCACGAATTCTAGTGTTATGAGAGAGGGAGAAGAACTTTTCTCTATCCACTTTCTCTATCCATTTTCTCCATGTCATACATAATTTTATAAATTTCCATCATGCCACCCCTTACTTGAGTTTTCTCTAAACCCAAAAGTCACATGTGCTGCAACCATTCCTCACAGGGGAGTCACTCCATCCTCTTGATCATTTTGGTTGCATCCCCAACTCCACAATATCCCTTCTTCTTCTTCTTCTTCTTCTTCTTCTTCTTCTTCTTCTTCTTCTTCTTCTTCTTCTTTTGAGGTGAGGTGAGATAAGCAGGACTGTACACAGTATTCCAGATTCAGTCACACCATAGATGTGGATGCTGGCATTGTGATACTGGCAGTTTTATTTTCAATTCCTTTCCTAATGATCCCTAGCAGGGAATTTTTCACAGTTGCAGCTCAGTGAGCCCAGCCACTGAGGGCTAAATTATGTGGTTCACACATGAAACCTTCCCCTATCTCCCCCTCCCTCTGCAGTAGGTAGCAAAGCAGCTTGGGGAGGCCATTTTTTTTCAGCAGAACAGCAGCAGAAGGGTAGGATTGTCATATTTCCAAGAGGTAAAATTCCAGACAAAAAGTTATTGAGTTTTTTTTGGGGTGATCACATACTCACCCCAGAGCCCATGACAGAGACAAAGATAGATCCTGGGCCTGCCCCTAAACCTATGCGCACACACGTGCGCACACACACAAATTTAACCCTACCCAAACCCCAAACATTTTCTTAAAATTGTAAAAATCCCCCCGGATGGGGATGTAGGCCCCCCAGAAGAGGACATGTCTGGGATTTCCCAGACATATGGCAACCCTATAGGAGGGAAAATGGTAAACAACCCTAACTCCCCATCTCCTCTCTCCCCCAACCCATGCCACCAGATTGACCCCCTTTGACAGCCCCAAATTACTCCAGGTGGATCTGATCTGATCCAGGCTAATCCACAACAAACTGCAGTCAAATTCTGGCTCCACCTGAATCATCTCAATTCTATTCAGGATCCAGAAGCTGCACAGTGCTCATTACTTAGAGCAGAGGATTTCAACCAGTTCAGTTATGTTGCCCCTTGCCTGGAAGCTTCTCACCTTTTTTCATACACCCTCCCTTGTGGAGTGTTTCCACATCCTCCTGTCCCCTCTCCTTGGGAGTCTTCTGGGTAGCTGCTGCTGCTGTCCCTGAGCTGCCCCCACCCCACCCCAAAGAGAGGGGCCTCCCAGAGACACCATTCACCTGGGGAGCTTGCAGCCAACAGCAGTGCAAGCCTTTGGGAGGCAGAGACATGAGAGGCCATCAGAGGAAAGAGGGAAAGGAAGAGGGACAGAGACCATTGTTGCCCATGGCACCCCTGACCATCATTCAAGGCTCCCCAGGGTACCACAGCACACTGGTTAAAAACCACTGACTTAAAATATCCCATCAGCCACAACATGGATTTTTGGATACCTGAGCTACAATTTCATATGATGCAGTTACAATTTTTAAAGGCAATAATGAATGAAATTTCATCAAGTTGTGCTTTTTGTTGGGGGGGGATACTGCTGATCGATGAATGAAATGTGCCTTGAATTGCCTTGCAAGATGGGCATTTATTTTTAATAGACAGGCAGTGCTTGACTTTGAATGGCAATTGTGGAATTGGTTATTATGAGATGGGGAATGGCTTTATCAAATTGTTTGTGTGTTCAGTTTTCAATGTGGAAATTACAAGGCAAAATGTATTGTGCCTATTTCTTTCTCAGTAAACGTATATTTATCATAATTCTTTGCAAATGTGGAAACAGCAGCTTCGTCTTGCCTTCTCCAGATATGAGGGATATGTGTAGGGTCTCAATCACATTTGTGCCTGCAGATGAGCAGGATCCTAAGCCCGCAGTCCCATCAGAATCTTACAGAGAAGTGAGCTGAATGGACAACCTCTGCCCCACTAGTCCAAGGGAATGGCAAAGACATCCTCCCTCAAGAACAATGCATGGATCTGGCAGTTCCATAGCATATGAAGTGTCACTGTGCCCTCAGTGGTGGAGCAAGCTGATAGGGCACCTGGGGCGGCATGCGTGCCCTGCATCTAGGGGCAGGGCCACCCACCCATGGGGCGGGGCGAGCTGGGGCAGGATGCTCCTCAGGGCCTTCAAGGAGTCTGCCTGCCTCCTCCCACTCAGCCACCATATAGCTTAGGGGGAGGCAGCAGGCGGACTGTTTGGGGCAGCGTGGAGCGCGGACATGCGTGGCTCAGGCACACTGCAGGCCCCGCAGTGAGTACTACCTGGCATTTTGTCACCCCCCCCAGTGGTGACACCCGTGGCAGACCGCCCCCACCTCACCCCCCTTCCTCTGCCCCAGTGTGCCCTTAATCTGCTCAGAAAGTTTGGGGAACTCCAGACAGATTTAAGGGGAGCACAGGTGGAAGAGAGAAGAAAGAATATTTCACTTCTATTCTGAACCAGTGATTTGTGTGGAAAGATCTGAGCCCTGTGGCTGCCACGTGGGAACAGCAGAGCCAATCTGGACCTTCCACTAGTGTGTTCTTACAGCCCCGGTCTTACCAGCATTCTGTTCACCCTACCCCTTCCAGGTAAGCTGCAGCAATGAAGGAGATGGAGAGAAGGCTCCATCTCACCATACCACCTGCTCTGGGTATACCCTTCATTTCACTGTGATAAGCTCATGGGTACTTTGCATCAGTGAGCTTTTGCTCATGGGAGAACCCACCAGTATTAAGAGCAACAGATCTCCACAAAATATATATGACCATTTAGCATCCCAAGATCCCCCTCTGAGAGAGCCAGCCTTTCAGGTTAAATGGTAAGTCAGTTTTTGGCTTTTAAATTTTAAACAAGCACTTCTATTTGGGAGGTATCATGGCAACGGCCACCATCAAAAATGCATGCCAAGAGGGGAAGGGTGGAAAATACACAGAATCTCAGAGCAGGCTTTGGAAAGGATGCACAGAAGTAAAGCAAGGTTTTAGATTCCATAACCACATAATCATACTTTAGCTAGCCTGTTATCTCCAAAAGCAACAGAACATCCAGTGAAGGCACTTCTGTGAATAAAATATTAAAACATATAATCAACTCAATTTTTAATGAAAGGTGGGGTGGTTCAACTATCCGTGCCTTTGTGGTGACCTGTGGTTAATAAAAATGAGCAAACTGACTAGGATTGCCAGCAAACATTCCCTTAAAGCAATTGGGGGGGGAGGGGAACCCAGGTCCTAAATGAGGGAATATCCCACCTGAAGCCCTGGAGAGCCACTGCCAGACCAGAGCTTTCTAAACTGTGTGTTGAGACCCGTTAGTGTGCCACAGCTACCTCACATGGCGGCCCAATGCTGTGAGCCAGCCACAGCACAGAAGGGGGGCAGTGAGTGAATGTGTTGCCCCCACAGTGTGCCCCACACACCCCTGGCGCACACCCATATCACTGGCACGCCTGCCACTGGCAGCAATCATGGACCCAACACCCCTGTTTGAATGTATGAGTCTGGGGTCTGCAAGGACCTTGAGCTTGTTCAGGTCTCATATTCATAAGGCCATGTCTCTCCTAGAGCATAAAAAGAAAGTTGACATGGAGGAGAGATTGAAGTTGAAGGAAGTATGGAATGTTGGAGGTTTTGCTGATTTCAGTGATGCTGCTTTTTCCTGGGAAGCAAGATTCTTGTGGTTTCTTATTAACCAGGTTGTGACAGCTTTCTCATTCCTATAAAAAGCTCTTAGCACCATATGTAAGCAGAATGTCATATTGATCAGTTTAGAAGAGATTATGGGTGATGGCAGTCTTCTCCAATGCAATTGCTTTGTCCGAAAAAGCAGAGTCCCGGGGCTTGGTGAGGGGGAAATGCAGCTATTGTCAACAATCATAGTGGGTGATATTCTGGGGAAATTCTGCAAAGAGGTCCATAGACAATGAGAAAAATTAAAGTCTCGGGAAATTTTATTTATTCCAGTTGTATTAAAATTTCTGATCAGCTTTGTGTTTGCTAAAAAAAAAACAGAGTGAAGGAGATGGTTAGAAAAGTGGATAAACACCTTCTTGAGCGTTCCCATAAATTCTTCAGTCATTCAACAACGAGAGAGCAAAAGACCTGTCAGGGAACTGACATCAGAGCTAGAGGTGGAGGGGAGGCTCTCTAATGATGCTGGAGAAGGGCCCAGCAGGGAGAGAGGCAGCTCAGCAGATGGGGAAGCAATTCAGTGCAACACCAGGAATAAGGAGGGGCAGGTGGGGGAATCAGAGAGAGGGCTCCCAGACTCTTCACCGGACACCAGCGGGGAGAGCACTGGTCCTCCACTACCCACGCCCTCCCTGCGCAGAAGACTTCCGCGCAGAGAAAGTAGGAGGAGACTGGGTGTCAAACAACTTTTATGTTGGAAAAGGTTTAAGAAACGCCCACTGACGGATTCTGCTAGCGACTGAGGCAGCCACGAATTGAAGGGCTGTCCAGACAGAAAGGTTTAACAAGGCAACATAGCCAGGAGAGGCGGCAACTTACGCACGAGCAACCCCA